GGCTTGGGTCAGGTGCACCTTAGTCCTCAAAGTGACATCTTTGCTTTTCAACACTTTAAAGAGGTCTTTTGCAGCAGATTTGCCCAATGCAATATTCACCACATGTCTGTCAGTTTGTCTGACTGTGGTGACTCGTGTGTTGCTGTGATGCTGGAAGCTATGCCACCGGTATTCCAAATATCAGCAGAGTCACCGATGGTGGACAGGTTTCAGCGGTGCTTCCAGACTAAAACAGATTAGGAAGCGGGTCTACTTCGGAAAAGAAATTGGCCAGTGAAAACCTTATGAATAGCAGCAGAACATTGTCCAATATAGTGCCAGAAAGTGAGTCCCGCAGGTTGGAAGGCACTCAAAATACTACTGGGGAGGAGCTGCCTCCTCAAAGTATAGTAGACCTTAATGACGTGGATGGAGCAAATAGCTGGTCATTATTAGTACCTACTCTTTCCATGGTTAAGTCAATAATTAACTTTTACATCTGTGTAGTGCAGTTTGCTGAACTGGACTGAAGTCAAGAGGCCTGGGTTTTGTTCTGCCTTGATAGTCCTCAGGTAGTTTCCTATTTGTAGAACGAGAGTGTTGATGGCCTCTAAGATTTTTTTTTTTTTTTCCTTTGTTTCTTTTTTACTTCTGTATGAAGGCTGGTGTCTGTGTGTTTCAGAACAAGCACACCATCTAACTGCTCTCAGAATGTACCGGCAAGAGAATTACCAAAAAAAGAAAAAAGAAAAAAATGTAAAGGGAGGTTTATACCAGCTTTATTTCATACGTGAGTTATCTCAGTAGATTAATAAAATTATGTATAAACATATATACAATTACGTTATATATGGTATGGTTATTGAGTTAACACAACAGGTTAATTTAAAAAAAAAGAAGTAGAAAGCTGAATAAAATGAGATCGTCTTAGTTATAATTATGTCTAACCCTTATAAAACCTGTTAGTATTTGAACATAAGAACTGAACAGTGGAGCAGATAAAATGATTCTCCTTTAAGCAGAGCCCAGAGCAAGGAGAACACATTGCCCATTGATGCCTTCTGTAACATTTTTCCAGGCATAAATGTATGTACTATAAATTAATAGCATTCTCCCTTACCAAAAGGGAAATGGGCTTCCTTTTCTCCATGTACTGTCTAGCATAAAGACAACACTCATAAAAAGTTGAATAATAACGAAGCTCCACTGGATGGTTTTATTTTAGGAAGCTCCAATGTCGAAACTGGACCCAACAGTATGTTCTATGAAATTTAGAATACAACGCAATTTCTCTCAATACTCAAAAGCAACTGCTGAAATTAACGTGGCATGATTATTTCAAAATCCTGAATAAAGCAATCCTGGCCACTCATTGTGTTTCATTAAAGCATACAGAGAAATTCATGCGCATGTACACGCACAACTTGTACTTCCCAGTTTGGGCTCTGTAAAAGCTACGTATTCTGCATTTCTATTCGTGATTCATTTTCCTGCAGATTCTCTCTTTCTTCTTTTTTTTTTTTTTTTTTGGATCACATAGTATTTATTTCATACATTTCCCTAACATTTCAACATATAATCTATGGACAACAGTGCCTGTTATCTATTGCATTTTATTGACGTGGTAGATTACTTAAAGCCTACATTAAAAAAATGCCACTGATTACCTATCTTTTGAACTACTCAGAGCCCTAACAATTCTCGGCTTCTGAATTGTTCTTCCAAACACCTTTTCCAACAACCTTACATTCTCCTTTAAACCGTGGAATCTCTCTCCACACTAGAGAAGGGAGGCAGAGGATAGAAAGGGTGTATATGCACCCCCTCCCCACGTTTCTCAAGAGAAACCAAAAAGGCCCCTGAGACACATAAACATTAAGTGCTATAAAAACAGCAATTTCATTTAGAGAGGTTTTTAGTTCTTTTAGGAGCCCTGGTGGTGCGAAGGTTAACACACTCAGATACTAACCAAAAGGTTGGCAGTTCGAATCCACTAGCTACTCCTTGGGGAAAGATGTGGCAGTCTGTTTCCGTAAACATTTACAGCCTTGGAGACCCTATGGGGCAGTTCTACGCTGCCCTGTAGGGTAGCTATGAGTCTAATCACATTGACGGCAGTGGATTTGTTTGTTTGGTTTTGGTAGGCTTTTCTAGTGCAGTAGGGAGAAGTGTTAGCACTATTATGAATCCAGAGAGAATGAATATTTGCATCAAAGATCTGCAGAACATGTTCTGTAGGTGTCTGGGGAACCAAGAAGAGATCATCCAGGAAGAGAAATCAGCAAGGCCTATAAGCTAAGACTGAAAAGGGAATCTAAGAGATGCATTATGGGAGTTGAGCACAAGATACCAAACAGGGCCAAAGACCTCATTTGCCAGGGATTGGAGCCAGTGACCGATTTGGGAGAATACTCAAGCCATAGGATGATGCAAAACTCTCAGGCATACTGTAGATCACAGACCCAGTGGACCATTTCTCTAAGGCAAGGATAGCAAGTTCCTTGCTGTAGAATCATACATTGTCCTTCTGCACAGTGCTTGCGATGGACAATTGCAGGCTATGAGACAGCCATCTCCCAGGGGCTATTTGAGCACTCAAGCCAAGTGAAATGGGGCATCTGCCCCCCAAAAAGACACTGCTCTTTCATGCTAAGGGCACCTAGACCAAGGAATTTTAAATTTACTGCTTTTTATTTTATGTAGCTTTCTTAGGCAGTGAAATCTAAGTATCCATAGCTTGAATTTCTATTGGAGTTCTTCTGTTTCTGATACATTTCATATGAAGAGTGACCTGAAAGGGCACAACTATTCTTCCCAAGCCAGAGCCTGCTATTAATACAATGTGAGGGCTCAGTCAGAAGAACTCCAAGTGTTGCTTCCTTTGTTCCAACGAGTTCTCCATATTAGCTCCTATCACCACCTTTATGTAAGGAATCACTGTGTGGGCCAAATGTTCCTTTCTTCAGATAGCTTATAAGCATCTGGATAAATACACATTTGAGATTCAATTAACTTTATATTAAAAGGTCAATTAACTTGGCTGTGATAGAGATGGTTTTTAATTACTTTTTCTCGTAGAACTTCTCTTCTTGTCCAAGTACAAGTGACCCTATCAAATGATAGTCACGTTGCCTCCAGGTTTCCTGAAACACATATTCAAAACACGCTGGAAATGAGTGTCTTGGTTAAATGAATTAACAGGACACTCTTTGGGCAATTCATCACTATTAATCCTTTGGACCTAAAATATCAGTAATTGATAATAGAATATTTTAACTTAAACACTGTATATTATTCATGACAATATCCTTCATTATTTGTTCTTGTTGGTTTCTACTTTCTTGGTGAAAGGTGACAGTAAAATGATTTTAAGGATTATATTATATCAGAGTACATTTTACCAACAAAATAATAAATAATAACATCAAAAACTGGCTCTCCCATTCCATTTGAGAACATGTAGTTATTTTAGTGCTAATATGGGTCAAAATTCAACTCACACATGTGGCACAAGAACATTTATACTTAATAAGCTCAAGTGATTAACACTTGACATATATTTACATATATGTGTATATAAAATCATTCACCAAAAAAAAAAAATAATATATTAATATACCTTATTCATTAATATATTAGCAAGTATTAACGTACTTTAATATTATTATATTAACTGAAACCTCCAAATGACTAGCAATTAAAAAATAAAACATACTATTTAGGAGTTATAAAGTCTTGAGATAAAATTTTCTTATTGTTTTATCACACAGAAGGGACCAACCTTCACATGATAGGAGCAGAAATGGTGTGCTAAGTACCAATTTTTTTAAAATTTTTTTTTATTGTACTTTTGATGAAGGTTTACAGAACAAATAGTTTCTCATTAAACAGTCAGTACACATGTTGTTTTATGACATTGGTTAACAACCCCACAACATGTCAACACTCTCCATTCTCGACCTTGGAGGACCTTTTATTTGGTAAAAATATACATAGCCAAAGTTACACCGTTTTGAAAGTTTCTACATGTACAATTCAGTGACATCGATTACATTCTTCCAGTTGTGCTGCTATTCTCACCATCCTTTTCCAAATTATTCCATCACCATTATCTTCAACTCACTGGCCCCTAAGCTTCCCATTAAACCTTTTGGGTTGCTGTCATCAATTTGATCTCACATAGATAATTCTTTTTTTTTTTTTTTTAATACCTTAAATGAAGGTGGTACCAATTTTTTTTTACATGCTGCTGTAAAACAAAAAAATAGCACAGAGCACTTAAGAAAACATTGGGGGGCAGGCGCAGTTGGCAAACAAACATAGAAGGCACGTATTATTTTCATAAATTTACAGAGAAATCTTAATTGAAGTAATATTGCTCTTACTAGTTTTAATAAGCTGGAAAGCAGAGGAAAATAGCTTTCCTATAGAATTAACAATATTGTCACCAAACAGTATTTTGTTTTGAGTGAAATGTCAATTTAAAAAAAATGTTACTCATACCTGCACCTCCGCCTATGCTTAGAATATTAATTTCTGATTTTGTGTCTCCAATCCTGAAAAAAAAAAACAATTACATAGTTTAGGAAAAATGTGCTAGTTGTCCTATAAAACCTGCTTATTAAGTCTAGTTGAAATCACAGACTGAAAATACAGTAAACAAAAACTAGGCCAACATGAAAATTCCCAGTCATTTCGATGGTTATATTACATTGACAAGGAACTGCCAGAAATTCAAGCCGGATTCAGAAGAGGACGTGGAACCAGGGATATCGTTGCTGATGCTAGATGGATCTTGGCTGAAAGCAGACAATACCAGAAAGATGTTTACCTGAGTTTTATTGACTATGCAAAGGCATTCGACTGTGTGGATTATAACAAATTACGGATAACACTGCCAAGAACGGGAGAATTCCAGAACAGTTAATTGGGCTCATGAGGAATCGGTATATAGACCAAGAGGCAGTCATTCAAACACAGCAAGGGGATAGATACTGCATGGTTTAAAATCAGAAAAGGTATGTGTCAGGCTTGTATCCCTTTACCACAATTATTCAATCTCTATGCTGAGCAAATAATCTGAGAAGCTGGACTATATGAAGAATGCAGCTTCAGGATTGGAGGAAGACTCATTAACAACCTGCAATACGCAGATGACACAACCTTGCTTGCTGAAAGCGAAGAGGACTTGAAGTTTTTACTGATGAAGATTAAAGACTACAGCCTTCAGTACGGATTACACCTCAACATAAAGAAAATAAAAATTCTCACAACTGGACCAATAAGCAACATTATGATAAATGGAGAAAAGATTGAAGTTGTCAAGGATTTCATTTTACTTGGATCCATAATTGACATTCATGGAAGCAGCAGTCAAGAAATCAACCGACCTATTGCATTGGGTAAATCTGCTGCAAAAGACCTCTTTAAAGTATTCAAAAGCAAAGATACCATCTTGAGGACTAAAGTGCCCTGACCCAAGCCAACGTATTTTCAATCACCTCATGTGCATGAAAAGCTGAAGGATAAATAAGGAAGAACGAAAAAGAATTGACGCGTTTAAATTATGGTGTTAGCAAAGAATATTGAATATACCATGGGCTGCCAGAAGAATGAACAAATCTGTCTTGGAAGAAGAACAACCAGTATGTTCCTTAGAAGCAAGGATGGCAAGACTTCGACTCGCTTACTTTGGACATGTTATCAGTAGAGACTACTCCTTGGAGAAGGACATCATGCTTGGTAAAGTAGAGGGTCAGTGAAAGAGAGGAAGACCATCAGCAAGATGGATTGACACAGCGGCTGCAACAATGAGTTCAAGCACAGCAACAATTGTGAGGATGGTGGAGGATCGGGCAGTGTTCCGTTCTGTTGTACGTAGGGTCACTATGAGTTGGAAGCTACTTGATGGCACCTAACAACAACAACATTACTCTTTAAAGTATCTTTAGAAGTATAGGTTCCATTCATTAAAAATCTTGAACTGGAAGACTTTTAGAAGTAGTGCTAATAAACATCTTGGAGGTGGGAAATACCATTTGTTTAGAGGTAGTTTGGAGAACAAAAACAGAAAAGGTGGGCATTTGAATCAGGTGACATGACAAACCACTCATTGTAAATGGGGGAGAAGATAAGGTAATTTAGATCATCTCTAAAATGTCTGCCTTCTTTCCTTCCCTTGTCCAACCTTCATTCCAATGAGAAAAATGTTTATTAAACATTTACTGTGTGCAACTGGAATGTACCTATCCTAGGCATTAATTACATAAAAATGAATAAGACACTACTTTACTCCCAACTTGGAGTGGAATAGATGAACTTGGAAGTGAATCAGTAGGATTTGCTTTTAGATTGATGTGAAGGGATCAGAAAGAAGTACAAGTGCACAGTGACTGCCAAGTTTCTCGCTTGGATGACTGGGTGAAGGATGGTGCCAAAAAGGAAGCTAGAGAATATAGCTTGATGGCAAGTTTCTAAGTTTTGTTAAAGTTTTTGGTGAATCTGTATTCAGCTGACACTTAGATATGCAAGATTAAATCTTGGTGGGAGAGAGATCAGAGTCAATGATGTATTCCGGAGAATTGTCATCATAAAATGTATGGTCAAAATTAGGAGAGTAGACTCCATAACCCTAGGATATTTCAAAGAGTTAGAAGAGCAGTGGAATATAAAATATAGAAGTAAGGGGACTCCACGAAGGGGAACAAGCAAAGCAACAAAACTCAAAGAGGTGGTAGGAGAATTAGAGAAGGAGAAAAGCCACCAGTTGTGCCAAAGGCTGTCCTGGTAGCACAGTGGTTAAGGTCTCGGCTGCTAACCAAAAGGCCAGCAGTTCAGATCCAAAAGCCACTCCTTGGAAACCCTATGGGGCAGTTTTATTCCGCCCTATAGGGTTGTTAGGGGTCAGAATTGACTCGATGGACAGGTCTGGTTTTTTGTTTGCTTGCTTTTAGTGCCAAAGGTAGCAGGGTGGACTATTAAAGAAAAATCTCCCTGGAATTTGGCCATAGAAATGTCTTTGATAACAGCAATTTTAAATGAAGCTTGAGAGCAGAAGTCAGATGGCAGTGGGATTAAAGATGAATTTAGTAAAGAGGAAGTAGAACTAGAGATTGTTGCAATAGGATGAAAGAGTGAAAAAGGAAAGGGGATGACAGCTAGAGGGTTCACAGGAACTGAAAGATAGCGTCTGTTTGTTTGGGCTTTAGAATGATAAACAAACCTGTTTTTAGGCTGAAGTGTAGCAGCCAGCACAGAGTGACAGATTGAAGACAGAAGTTGAAGCAACCGTTCTTGAGGAAACTGGAGAAGACAGAGTCAAGGACACCTGTGAATGATTTGCTTTCTTATTCTATTTATCTTCCAACTCATAATTATGATTCTTAATACACTTAATGCATTTTGTTAATTCTTAAAAATGCTCATATGCGCAGATAGCATAGTGAGGCTGGAGCATCGCACCCAGGTTCAAATTCCAGCTTGGTGCTATGTTACCTTGCACAAGTTATTTAATCTCTCCATGCCTTTATTAAGTATGAAATAGTATAATAATACCATAGACCTTATATGATTCTTAATAATAATATCTAACTCATAGAGGAATTGTGAGTATTAAATGAGTTAATTCATGTAAATCTCTTAGAAATGTGTCTGCACATGACAAGCACTCAACATATGTTAGCAGTTTTTATTACTCCAAGCACAGCTAAGTGATTTACATAAATTAGCTCTTGTAATCCTACAACTCCTCTATAAATACTATCAATACTATATTATACTATTGATTATACTATATGATACTACATTTATCGCATGTATACATTATGATGATAACTAATAATTATTGAACTCTTAGTATATTTCAAGCAAGGATATAAATGCTTTGCATGTAACAAATGAAATAAAAACTTTTATTATTTACTACTATGTAAACAACATTTTGATGGGGAACAAAATAGCCTAACGAATATACTTTCACATCTTGATATCTGGGGACCCCCCCAGGAAATAGCTGAGTCCACTCCTAATTACTACCATGAGTCCCCAACTCAACCAAGTCCTGCCCCTACATACACAAACATTCAAACTGCTTTTTAGAGCCACTATTTGAGTGGATGGATAATCAAGTTTCATCACTTAGCTCGAGAACACCCCTAACAAGAGAAACAAAGAACAAAAGGAACTGAAAAAGAGAATTTAGCTGGAATATGCAGGAAGCAGAGTAAAGTTTTATAATAGAAATGAGAAGATATTGCATCTATGAAACCTGGACAGGATGCCATAAAAAAGAAACATTTTTTAAAATTAGAAATATCATAGCAGAAAATTAACAGAAGGACTGAAAAATAAAGTCTTAGAAAATTGGAAATATAAACAACTTAGAGACTCAATACAGGAGTTCTGGTGTTTGATGAAAAGATGTTTCAGAAAGAGAAATTAGAGGGGAGGAATGATTAAATAATACCAAGTTTTCCCAGAAGTGAAGGATTTGAATCTTGAGTGAAAGGACCCAGCAACCAAAACCAGTTACCATCAGTCAACTCCAACTCATGGCAACCCCATGTGTGCCAGAATGGAACTGCGCTCCTGAGGTTCTCAATGGCTGATTTTCAGAAGTAAAGGGTCCAGCCTTCCCAGGGAATACCTAAACAAATAAAAAAGACCCACACCTGAACTCATTTTCTTAAGATATTCTTAAGATTCCAAAGACTTTCAAGTAGGTGAAACAAAAAACAAACAATGACAAAAAGGTCATATGCTAAAGATCAGAAATTTAACGGCACTGGATCTCTTAACGACAACGCTAGCAGTTAAAAGACATAGGAAAACGCCTTTAAATGTTTTATATAAAACCATTTTTAGCATAGAGTTCTACGCCCAGCTGAACTATCAAACAAAGATGAGTGTAGAGCAAAGGCATTTTCAAACATCCAAAGTTTTAAAAAGTTTACCTCCCATGTACCCCGTTCCAGGAAAACTCTTAAAGGGTGAGCTTGAGAAAAAATGGGCTGAGGAAACCAAGAAAGAAAGGCATGGCATCCAGAATCAGGGGATCCAATATTGAATAGAGGAGAAGTGAATTCACAGAAGGTGAAGTAAATTCCCTGATCAACAGTTATTCAGCAAACCAAGAGCAAAATCAGCCCAGATTGGAAGAGAAGTACAGAAACTTCAGGAAAGACATTCCCATGGGGGGAGGAGGGAAGGCAGGAGCTGACAGATTACTTGATCTGTTTGAATATATTGAAAGGAGTTTAATACTTCTGCTTGGGGGTATAAGTAGTGATTAAAAAAACCCAAACCCACTGCCATCAAGTCAATTCCGACTCATAGTGACCGTATAGGACAGAGTAGAACTGCCCTATACAGTTTCCAGGGAGCGCCTGGTGGATTCAAACTGCCAACCTTTTGGTTAGCAGCCATAGCTCTTAACCACTACCCACCAGGGTTTCCAAAAGTAGTGATAGGTACACAGAAAACTAAACAAACAAAAATCAAGGCAATAGTTAACTCTAGCAAAGCCAAAAAGTTGTACATGAAAAGCAATATAATTATA